ACTTAATTCTTAATATAAATAAAGATCATTTGTGTACTGCAGCAGTCATGAAGTAGAAATTCAAACCTCAGAGGTGGGTTTTATTTCTCTGTCACTGAAGCTGGAGTTTGGAAGCACTGAGAAACAAGGCAGTTTTGTGAGCACAGGATTTTGGACCACATTGTAAGCAATCAACTTACATTTCCTTGGCACAATAGTACTATTTCCAGTACAGATATCTCATGGAATGCCTCTAGAATGATCCAAAAGGATAATATCACAGAGGAACAAACACAGGACAATCCTCGAGAATTTTTTTCTTTACAGACTGACCATCAATTTGAGTGTACTGACATTCCAGAAACACTGGGTTTTGTCTAGCTGATTTTCAGTGATGTATTTATAGAAGGAACGTGTAATTCAGGGTTTATAAAAAGTAAACACATTTTAAAAATAGGGATTTTAAATAAAATACACTATTATTTTAGATGAATTGTGTAATTCAAGTATAATCATTGGAACAAAATAGGGTTGACAAGATCATATTTACAGGTTATGCGTGTAATTACGACAATCTCATTCAGAACTGTTTGTTTACTGGCTCTTCCAGAATATCTGCTGAAGAAGGACATCATTCTCAGAAAGTGACTTAGGAAGATGGAAATAATTTAGAGAGATATTAGTTTGTCAACCCTTCTCTATTTCAAAACTTAGAAAGAGAAATTCTGAGAGACAACAGCATTTGTGCCATCATCCTGAAAGACAGGAGACTCTATATTAATCTCCACCATAGTAAGACTGAGAGATCTTAGTGAGTAATTCCATTTTCCATAATTAATTTTTTTCCAAGGCCTGTTTCGTTTCAAGTACAATGTACTTGTACAAAGTACTGGTACTGGAGCCTATATAAATGTTTCTCATCAAGTACAAGGACCACTAATCCCTGGCTCTATTGTGTAAGCCTGATACAGGCCTTGCTAACAACCGTACCCTCGAAGAGGAGCTAAAAGATTGTAAAAGAAGAACATGCTGCTCCAGCAGGGGCCAAAGGTTGGATGATTGTCTGAAAAGCATGAAGTCAGTGAAAATCCACGGTAACTGAGGGAAAAGCAAAGGAAACAGGGGAAGACCATGACCACTGGCTCAATTCAAGACCAAAAAGACTTGCCCCCCACACCTGCAAGGAGCATGTGTCCTAATCTACGTACCAAGCATGGCTAATTTAAATGTAACTAACCAGTGAGGGACAAAGTGTTAAGAAACTAACCAATGGTCATTACAGTAAACGTGTATTCATGTAGTTTGAAATATATAAATACACTGAAGTTCTCTTGTGTGGTGTGCTGGCTTTGTGGAATTACCACCTAACAGCCATCTTTGCACAAATATGGAATAAACTGGTATCTGGGCTCTGTGTGTAAGACTGGCTTTTGCACACCAGGTAACAAACCCTGTTTGAGGGACAACAACACCAAAGATTTACACAGTGTACTCAATTAATACAACAGCAAGCAGCTAGCAAAAGTTGAAGATACTATGTTTTGTATATGTGCCTCTTGAAACATAGGTCACACCATAGCAAGGTAAGCTCTTTGAAATCCAAACAGCATATTTACTAAAACAGGTAATATACATGTGTGAAGCACTGTACTAATCTCATCAGGATGATTCAGCAAATGGATTTCCTTTATTGATCATAAACAGTAGATGAGGAAATTAATCTTCCTCCTAATTCCTTTGGTGGGGCTAAGAATTCAGTCTAAAGACTGACTTGTCTCTGTTCAATGAGATAAAAGGTGTGACAAAAAGGAGAAAAAAGATTTAATGAAGGAATGGAACACCATGTAAAAACTTTAGGGACATCCATGATTTCACAGTAGCATGAAGAGGAATGCAAATATGCCTTCTGAAAGTTGGTGGTGGTTTAGGCCCAGCCGGCAACAAAGCACCACGTGGCTGCTTGCTCACTTATCCCTTCCCTGCCAGGATAGGGGGGAGAATTGGAAGAAAAAGAAGTAAAACCTCATGGGCTGAGATAGGACAGTTCCATAGAACAACACGAGAAGAAAATGGTAACAACAATGAGACTAATAAAATGAATATATAAGGTGAGTGATGCAATTGCTCACCACCTGGCACCCCATGCTCAGCCCCTTCCCAAGGCATGACCACCCCCAACACCCCCGACCAGCCCCTCCAGTTATCTGCTGAGCAGGACGTCAGCATGCTGTCCAATATCCATACTCCTGCAGAGAAGCCCTTGTTTCACATAACCTCTGGGGCCATCTTCAAAAAGCTGAATACACTGCCCACAAACAGCACCTGCATCATGGTGCCCAGAAGGCAAACCACAGCTTCTTAAAGGCCGGTCAAAATGCAGAAAGCACCTGACAAGCTGTGTCCTACACAGTATGAAATCATGGGCCCGTTTGTCCTCCTGCTACTCACAAGCTCCAAAACGGTCATCTGCAGACCAACCTCTCCTCCAGCATGCAGCACCAGCCTTACCCCCTCCCTTGTTCTCTTGGCAGAGTCAAATAACCCAGCATGAAAAACTATGTGTCGATGTGCCTGTGTCTTGACTTAATGGGTTACAGCCCCCACACACATCCCCACACCGGCTGAAAAACCAACAGAGGAGCACATATCCACCCCTTCATAAAGACAGGAGGACTGCATGGAAATTTCTTTCTGAACCCACATGCAATCCTATGCCTACCTAGCGACATGAAGGGCTTGGATATGCATATATTTCCTGCTCTGGTAGAGATGGCAGTTCTGGTCATCCTTTCATCTGGATTTGAGCTGAGAAACCTTCTAGAAAGGTCAGCTTTCCCATGCTCACCCACATCCCAGCAAAGAGAAAAAGGAGATTCTATTTGAATACGAATCTCCTTGGTCATCTCATGACACGGTTGCGTTTGATGGGTTGGAGGTCTCCAGTTTCTGCCCATTTTGGTTCTGGCTGGAGAATGGGAGCAAATGTTGGAGGAGACATGAGGGAGGGCACACACAACCACAGGCAGGAGCCTCCTCTCTGGAGAAAACCAGGGCAAGAAAATGCAGAGGGAAAAGGCCAGGTCAGTCGTCTTGAGACCATGTTGCTTCAGGTCATAGAAACATAGAACAGTTTGGGTTGGAAGGGATCTCTAAAGGTCATCTTGTCACCAAAATGGGATAAAAGAACTTATCGACACCACTTTGATGTAGATAAGCAGATACTCTTTATTAACAGCCCAGTGCGTAGGGGAGTTGTCTCGCCAACAATGCACACCTGACTCATGTAGTGTCTGATTATATTGGATACAGTAAGACATATTAATCAAGTTTTCATACATATACATGCTTATTCCCATAAATCAACTTCACATTCCCACCTCTTCACGGTCATGCACACTTGAGTCCTGAAACGGGCTGGAGGGCTGCTTGTGCGACCACCACAGACTACTACCTAAAAGAAAGACCTTCCAATGCCTTTGACCCACGGATTTTTGGCTCACATGGCAATTTTAACATGATTCGAGGCCCTTTCACAATATAACTTCTAGAATACCTGGTCTGCTGGGCAATAAATCATCCTGACTGAACAGTCTAACAATGGTACCTCATCACGAGTCTTATTCTTTGTGTAGAAATCTAGTTAATGATTATCACTAGTATACATGGCCTTAGTCTGGGACTTTCAAAAGAACTTTGTGGCAGTGTAACTGGTTGTATAGTTACTCTAAATCATTCCTTATTTAAATCCAAATCATCACCAGGCGGCCGCTTTGGTGCCCGGAGGAATGCACAAGCAGGACAGGCTGAGTGGCTTTTTTAGCTTTGTAGGGGTTGATCTCCCTTTTCTTTGCCTGAAAATGGCAGGTTTGAGAGGTGAAATGCTCCTCGCTGCCCCCCAGACCCCCCCGGACAGCCCAGCACCCTCGGCTCTTCCCATCCCCCATGGGGAGCGGGGCAGCGGTAGTCGTTTGTCCTGGGAGGGGGTTGTGAAGGCTGAAGAAAGGCTCAGATGGAGGCCGAGCAGAAGGTGCCTTTGCCTCTGCCCGTCGGTGCTCTCGGATCCCTGTTCCCTCTGCACGGCTGGTGCAGCTGAGCCACAGAGCCGCTGAAGGAAGCCTCTACTGATGGGGCTGCGCCTTCCGCAGGTTTCTGGAGCTTCTAGATGAGGCCTTGAATTCGTCTGTATTTACATGAGGGAACTTCAGAATCACCCTGTGCCCTCTCCCTCCCTCAGTCAAGCCTGATGCCAGGTCTGGGCAAACCAGCTCTGCAGCTCTTGGGGACACCCGAAATGTTCTCAGGGTGTCGGTGCTGGGGGTGGTGTCAGTGTTGGTGCCGGTTCGGTGCCACTGAATGCCCCGAGCGCGCTGCCGCTGTGCTGATCTCTGGTGCCTTCTAAGGGAGCAGAGGCAAGGCTGATCCCTCTGCTCCCAGAGGCTCCTGCCACAAACCAAAGGCCCTCTGTGCCTCCACTGCCACCCCAAAATCCTGCCCTCCCACTCCAGCCTGTGCGCACAGGACAAACCCAGTGGCCTGTGCACAGCTTGGAGGGAGTGAAGCACCCAACTGCTGCCACCAAGTTAAAGAAAAATAAGTTTTATTCTTTTTTACGCTGTGGGTGTCAGCACTGGTTTTGGTGCCGAGGGCGGTGTCTGTGTCAGTATTGGTGTCACTGTGGGTGTTGGCGCAGGTATTAGTGTCAGTGCTGGAGGCAGTGCTGGTCTTCATCCTCCACTGTAACCAGGTTCCTTCCATCTCCATTTGTGCTCCTATGCAGGTGCTTTTAATCCAATAATTCAACAAGTCAGACTGTCACTGAGGCTTTAAAAGTGCAAATAAGTTCCAGGCACTCACCCACCTTAAGGTGTAGCTGTTTCCTCTCTCAGCCACTGCAAACCCTGCCTAGCATAGTGTACCGCTTCAGTCACGCTGCTGTTGAGCGCCAGAGTGCACGTCGCTGTGCTGAGTTCAGAAAAAAACTCTGGAAAAAGGTGAGGGAGAGAGAAAACATTTGGTTGGTTTCACACCACAGGCCCATCTGACAGGCGAGAGGGCAGCGAGGAGTGGCAGCAGCAGCACCCTGTCAGTCGGCAGGTCCCGTTAAACACATCGTTAACACAGAGAGCTCAGTGATAGTCACAGGCCGGGCAGCATCACAAGCACAGAGGGCCCGGCATGTGGGAAGGAAATGCGCTCACACATGCACACACACGCTGAATCCTCCCCGGGCTCTGGCTTTGAAAGGACACCGAGACACTGCGGGAGGTGGACAGGAGTTTGGGAGTTCACAGCCCAGTCCCTGCTGTGTGCCTCCTCCAGGTTTTAAACCGGCTACATTCTGAGCAGTGCCTGGCAGCACACACCGCTGTCACCAGGCTGGTCCCTTTGCTTCACCCATCCTCAGACCTTGGAGACATCAGGTTTTCTCAGCTGAACAGGTTTCAAAATCTGTCCAGCTGGCCAGGCGATACAGCTCTGATTGGGGTTGCTCACAGCTGGGCATCAGGCAGATTGAAGAGAGCCCTCATCTCCTGCCCAGCTCCAGCTCTGAAAGGTGGCTCCAACATCAGTTACAACTAACTGCTTTCCACTACTTTTCACCTTCCCTCTTTAAAGGATATCTGAAGGCTCTTTCCTCCCCCTCTTATTCCCTATGAATTGCATAAATGAATGAAGGATGTGGCCTTTTTTATTTTTATTTTGATGTACTTGCTCTCTGTCCTCTGAGCATCTGCACCTTACACTATCAACAAGCTCCAGTTCTGAAACTCCTCCACCATCCTGGACAGCAGCAACAACTGCCAAGCCCATAGGAGTGTTTACTATTATCCTGCACAGATCCAATCCCCTGTGGGTATTTGCTACCTCAGTCATCATTCCCCTCCATTAAAACAGCAACAGAGAGCAGGTTTTGTCCTTCTTAGTGACAGCCTTTGGAGGCTGTAACCCAAAATACTACACACGCGTTGCTGCTGCGAGCACAGATTTGCTCGGGGGACACCCAGCAACTGAAGTTACTCTCTTCAAAGGGGACTTGCAAAGTCTTTTGAATTTCAGCAACTACCTCAGTGTGAGGATTTTTGCAGCCCTCACAGAATTCAGCCAGGCTCATCGTGCTTATTTTCTTTTGCCAGTTTGCCAACAGATGGTGGCAGTACAGCCTGTCGCCCACAGCAGCTCAGAAAACTTTGGGTTTTAAACCACTCTAGGGCTTTTGCTTATGCACCACTGCTTGTACCACAGGAGAACACAACACTTTTAACAACAAAAGTGTAAAATCCAAAAAGTATCATCAATTTTAGGAAAAGCTACCAGCAAATACTGGTCACGTGTCCAGCCAGAACTCCAATGCAAGAGCTGCTCAGCTTCTCTGTTACAGAGAGAAGCCAGCTTCAACGTTTTCAAGGCCAAGATACCTGCAAGTTTGACAAACCAACTAAAACACAAGGCTAAAGGCCAAAAACCTGTTTTTAAAGGAGGTGAACCAACTCAGAAAAGCTAAGTACCCCCAAGGGAAAAACAAACGGCAAAAAACCCCTTATGCTTCTCATGTTACCATGAAGCAAGTTGGCTGGTTCCCTGCACTTCATACCCTCACCCCTTAGCTCTTAAGAACTCTGAGGGTGCCAAGACAGCCTTTGAATTGGAACACTCCTCAGTTTATCACCATCAGGTATCTCTGCCAATAACCTGACAATGTGCCACAGCTGTCTGCTTCAACATAGGTAATGATTTGATCTTTAGGTATGGCGTTTGCTACGCTGAGCATTAGGACTGAAGCAAGTACATACACAAAACCACCACACATGTGACCAAAAAGACAGAGCGCAAAAAACTTACACGTGTTCTTCCCAGCCAGTGCATCGGCCTTTTCCCAAATATCACATGCATAGAGGATATAGGAACTGATGTTGATGTACGCAGAGGTGATGTTTGGGATGTTATAGGGAACAGTGACCGAAGAGCCAATGCTGTTCTCACTGTAGCCACTGCCAGCATAAGAAGTCATGCCTGTGCTTCTGCAGGAGAAGGAAACACCATCATGAGCGTTCAACTTCAGAGTGAAAGACATCAGACTATTTTATGCCAGGAGCTATTTGGTACCATCCAGGCATGCAGCATGGAGTGGAGTGTTGAAAACTGAGATGTATTCAGCTATGTAATTGTCCTTCGAATGCAAGGACAAGGTTTTTGAAGCAATTTGTGCCTCAAAGGACTCCTCTTGGTGAAAAAAATGCGTGTCCAGACATCAGAAAGGGCCACCCATCCACTTCCCAACACCTACACCTACTTGTGGAAGCCTTCACCAGATTATCTGAACGCCTTTTCCAAACAAATTCCAGTTCAGGCACAGTGAAGCTCCCCACTGATGGAGGCTAGAGCTTTCTGACAGCTGGTCACAGCAGCCAGGTCAGCCTGCATACACTTCTTTATAGCCCTAGGGCAGGTGAATGCGGCCAGCTGCCTGACACAGCCTGGCTTCATCACAGCACTCCTTCACCCAACCCAGTTTTAGTCACTGGTAGAACAGGGCTTCCACCACTCCTCTGGGGAGACCACTGACTTCCCAATAAGCTGTACTGTGCAAGGTGCCACAAAAATAACTGGAATTTCAGCATCACTGTTAAAGACCAACCAAGTCTCTCTCAAGCACGGAGTTTAAAAGGGACAGGCGTGGAGCCAGGTAGCTCTCTGCCAAATGCAATTGCCACCACACACAGAAAAAACTCTTTCTTACTCACTGTCATTCAAACACGGGCCTAGTCTGCTGGGCACCCAGTCAAACACCGTTACCTAACAGCTTGATTTTGACCTTTGCTGCTGCATACACAGCAACACTGCTGCAGGTACACAGAAAGGACAAAATGCTCAACAACTCAGAAATTAGAAAATTAGTTTCTTAATTGGTGACTGAGCCAAAGAGAACACTATGAATGTTCTGCTGCCACAGGGTGAAGGCATAAATCCGGACCTTGTAACAAAAAAAACCCTTTCTGAGGAGAAAAGACAGGAAGGAGAGAGCAGAAATACTCCTGCCCCTAACAGTAGGATTTCAGGGGGCAAAAAGGAGCAAGTGGCAAGGCACTCTCAAATGCAGGCAGCAACTCAAACACTCCAGCTCCTGTTTTCACTCACACCCTCGTAGAAAGAGGACAACATAGATATTTTGAAATCTTACCTTGCAACACACAGAGAAGGTGCTTGTGTAGATCTGGAAGAACTCTGCAGCAAGGAACAGAACTCTTGTTAAGTTTGGGCTACTCAGGCAACATCAGTAAGTCCCGCAGCCACCCAGCCGGCAGCTCAGTAACATGCGTGCCCTACCCTGAAGTGGTCATTCAGGATCCTGGAATACTTCATGGCAATGTGTTTTTTGTAACGGAACATTGCCATGTGCAGAAGGGACTGGCAGCGCATGCTGTGAACAGAAACACACCCAAGGATCAGTGCTGACACTGGCTGCTGCCTGCTCAGCAGTCACCAGCCTTGTGGGACAGAGGCAGGCACACATCAGTGGTACTGCAGCACCAAGACAGCTCTGAATGTCTCCTCCTCCTGCTCAGCTTTAAAAAAGACTCTTTAAAAACATCCCAAGGGAAAAAAAGCAACCAAGGAAGGGCCATGCCTGGTCTTTTATATAAACAGGTGCCCAACTTCCCATAAGTGTCACAGGCTGAGTAAGCCCCCATGCAGAAGAGCCTTCACTATGTTCAGCTTCAGCCTCAGTTACATGGCTCAAACACAGACAGCCAAACTGCATCCTTTCACCTTTGGAGAAAGCCCTTATTGCTCTCAAGTTACCAGCAGATCAAATTTTAGAGCCTGTGCCTTCCACATATGGTCCCCTGTGATATCCCAACTTGCTTTAGAGATGTTCCAGTTCATTTTGGGTTTTATATTGTGGGGTTTTTTTCCTTGAAGAACACCAATTCCCATTTAACTCATCCATTCACCTCTGAAAGTAATGGGTCTGTCAAGTCTAAAAGCAGAATATGAAAGCAGAGAAAAACAGTTACCCACCATAACACAGCAAAGATCTTGTCCTGTGAAGATGCTGTGGAGTCTGTAAAGGATTTCAGTCTCATGATGAATCTAAGGAAACAAAATGAACAGAATCTTGTCAGTCATCAGTGCTCTGAAGTCCCACTGTTCATGATAAATCAGCTCATGCCATTATCTCAAACACCAGTCCAAAAGTCAGTAAACCTGCCCTGAGTTCTTAGTGCTGGCAGCGAGTGGTTTGTACAACGCTGAGCAGGGGACTGTGTCTCCAAATGCCTTGTTTCGCAGGCAGCAGGAACAGATGTGGCCCCTTATGTGACTCACTCTGCTCTTACTCTGATTAACAGGCAACAAGTAGAAGCCCTCCAGGGGCCATCTCTAGGCCTAGGACCCAGAAGAGGTGCCCCTGCTACTGAAGGTGAAATATTAATTCAACTGTTTCTGGACAAGACAGACATCTTAGTGGAAATGCTTCTTCTGGCAAAAACCTAGCAAGCCAATCTCCTTTTCGAAAACAAAGAAACAACAGCATCTTGGAAATACAGTCCATCAAGACCAGAAAGCACAAACTCTTCTTCACCTCACAGTATAGTTACTTTACTCTTCTTAACTGAAATACTTCTGAGCTCATGTGCAAAAGCAACACCAGATCTGGATGAACTAAAAACTCCTTCATGCCTTTGACTGTTGTAACCAGTTTCCTCTGGTGCACCTCAGCTGCGTGGCTCAGGGGCTGAGTAGGACACGGTGCCTCCTTCTGATCAGCAGTGCTGAAACATGCCAAAGGATTTGTCTCTGGTGCCTCGCCATGGGCTGTCTTGTGCTTGTGCAGCAGCCCGGGCTCTGCTCCGTGGGGGGAATCCAGAGCTGCCAGTTGCAAACAACAACTCAACTCCCCCTTCTGCTCCAAACACGCTGCCTGACCATCACGCTGTGAAAACTGCTTACTTGAGGAGATCTATGGTGCCACTGAACACGCTGGAAGCTGATTTGGGTTCTGTTGGGTCTGATTCCAAGGCAATCCCATATTCAATGAAGGAAAGGGCAGCATCTAGGTACTGGAAGGCCCTTCCAGTCCTGTCGTCCTGTTGGGAAGAAAATTCTCCTGTTTAGACTAAGACAAAAGCCACTTCTCTCAAGCATACCTGAATTCCTTTTTTCTCCCTAGTTAGGCAGGATTTGAAGAAAGAAAAAGAGGCAAGTCAGGCCTCTGGGTGATAGTTAAAGGGTTCTCAGCAGAACCCCTAATGTGGTCTCAGTCATCAGCTTTGTGTGCTCTGGCTATTTGTATCTCTCCCTCAATGTTCTCCTTGTGTAATTTATTACCTTCACATGTTTTGGATATTATCATCTGGTCTGGGAGGCCTGCCTCAGGAGAGGCAGATGGGGCTTGCCCACTGCAGTATTCCCTCACTTCATTTTCACAAGTAAATGACAAGTGGCAAATGTACATTATCTGAGTGAAGCATCATTAGCAACAACAGATGTTCCTTCACGCACGCTGTTAAACTGCCCATAGTGGAGAAAGCCAGTGACATCTGCAACAGGGACTTGCAAGTCTGGTTCACCAGCAACACAATTACCGTGAGGACCCTGAAGTTTCAGAGTAAACTGTGTTGTAACTAACTGCTGCACCTCTCCTCCAAGGACTTTGTGGTAGTTCTGAGAAGCCAACAGGCCTGCTGACCTCAGACAGTGCCAGCCCTGAATCCTGTTCTCCAGGCACATTCTCTAGATGTGTTTATAACCAAGGGAAATGTCTAAACACTTGGCAGATAAAGACAGCCTCCCCACAGGTGACTCAAACATACTCCAAGTGTGGAAGTCATGTTAGACAGTGAACCTTATCCCATGCAGGCAGGTAATGGCTCTGAATGCAAGAGCTGGTGAGCATTTATAGCACAGGTCCGAGACTTACCATTGTATCAGCTTTATGCTTCAGCCTTTTGGCCTCTTTGATGTAGTATTCCACTGGATGCTGTCTGGATTGGGGACAGAGAGCGAAAACAGAAAACAGAGAAAAAGGGTAAGAAAATGATCGGTTTTACCCTCCTATCCAGAGGATGCCATGAGTCCACCTTACAGTGGTGATAGTCACTAAATGAGTATTGTCTGCATGTACAGAAATGCTTAACAGTTGAATACACAGATACAATGAATTGATTTCTTAAAAAATGTGTGTTAGAATAACATTTCAAAATAAAAGCCACTGGAGGTTAGGCTACTGTGAGGCCAGGTTTACTTCTTTGGCCCCATGGAAAGATTGTAGTGATATGATCTCCTATCATTCAATTACAATCCCACAGACACATTTTGATTGAAACATACAGTAAACTTTGCAGTGCCAGTCACTCATCTCGGACCAAAAGAGCCTGCATTCAAGTTATCTGCTTACAGGAGAGATGGTCACCAAGGCTCCTCCTGTTGATTGGTCTGAATCAACACCTAAACAATGATAAAGTTCAACCACACCCAGTTCTGTGCACTGGCACAGTCTATTCACTGTGCAAATAGCACACAGCTGCCTGTGCACCAACAACACGAGCAAGTAAAGAGTCATGCCCTCCCCGAAAAAGCCAGTTGCCTGCCCAGTACTTTGTGACAGAGGAGTTCGCCACTTGTCAAGAATCAGACAAATCAAAACCCAGCACTTGTAGGCAGGCACCAGAGACACCTCCTCTCCGATTTAAAAAGGATCTAATTTCCAGAGCAGAGTCCCTCAAACCAAGATCTGTTGTCGTGAGACCTTTGCTCTGTGGTGCTGGTGGGGGTATCACAGACACGTGAAGGCAGCAGTACAGGGCAGGTCAAAATCCTGGCAGTACACTGGTCTGCAGATGATGGGGTAAGTTTCAGCAGATCTATCAGAAGGACTGAAAATGCTATGCTGGAATAAATGAGAAATTCCTGGCCATGAAGGGCACCTGAAATTCCAGACAGAGTCACAATTCAAAAGGCACGATGGCTGTGTGTCCATTAGGTCACACACAAAAGAGACAAAGACAACAAGATGATTTTAGTGGAGAAGGGAAACGCTCCTTACCCACCCACACATACAAATCTCTTTCCTGGACTGGCCTTTGCACCTTTCACTCCTCTACAAATCTGGGCCAGTCGGAGGGAAAAGCCTACTGGCCCTGAGGCATCTTGGTTTGGTTAGAGAAAGGGGGAGCTGCATATCCACATGCTTCTGGAGCCCCCACAGTTCAGCAAAGTGAGAAAATGGAGCTCTGCCATATCTGTCACATCCCTCTCTGTGTTCTCAGCTGGGAGAAGATGGGTCCCAGCCAGCACCAACCCCGTGGGCACCAGCAGTCCATGGGGCAAGTGCTATTCAAAGCCCATAACTGGTGACAGCAAAAGCAACTGAGGGAGCAGACAGGATCAGCATTAACATCTGACTTGTGGCTTTCATCACTACCTGTCCAATTAAGAAACTAGCAGTGATCACCCAGTCAAAACTGATGGACATACAGTTACACTTCAGACAACAGCTCTTCTCAAGAGGCTGCCAGAACTCTCTCTGGATGTGGTTGCTCAGTCACAGGAACAAGAGTCACAACTTCTGGGCCACACTTTCAGCTCTTTCACCTCTTTGCAGTGGGAGTCTGAGCAAGCAACTCAATTTGTCTGCAGTTTCTCCATGTGCAAAGAGTGTTCACATCATATTCTCACTTTACAAAGACTAAGAGCTTTAAACGCATGTGAAGTGTCATGAATTGGATAAAGTTTTCTGCTGCTTCCCATGCAGAGAGGGTACAAACTTCCCCCAAACAAAGATGACAGCAAAACCCAGAAGGAGGAAGACATGGGCAAAGAACAAGACGTTCACTGACTCCTAGAATGGTTTACGTTGGAAGGGACCTTTAAAGATCTTCTAGTCCAACTCCCTTTTTAAAAGCATTGCAAGGCTATTTCTCATGAGAGCAGAAATAAATGATACTTGAACTCTCAAGTCTTACTGAGCATCATAGAACAGTTGGGGTTGGAAGGGACCTTTAAAAGTCATCTAGTCCAAGCCCCTGCAATGAGCAGGGACATCTTCAGCCAGAAGGCAATTTCTCTTGCCATTCCCTGAAGCCCCTAAACTATGGTGCATAACAAGCCCGTGCTACTGCCCACAGAACTGCTGCCACCTCCCAGATCACTGTGGGCGATCACCTGCTGGCAGATCACCACCACTGCAGTTTGGAGAAGGGGAAACGACTCCTGCATCCCCACAGGCAGACAGTCTACCACACTGTTTGCAAACAACATATCATTGTTTTGCACAAATTCCCTGTATCTGGTCTGAAAGAGCAGTGCAAATCCTTGCCTACCAGCTTAGAAGGAAAAGCAGCACGGGCACAACTGGCAATTAAATTTCTTGCAGCATGAACAGATTTTTTGATCTACATGTAATACACAGACCAGAGCAACAGCAAGGTAAGCTGCAGGATGGACAAGTTGGTGTTTAAAATGGCAAAACCTTCATCCCCATCTCAGCTGTTGGAAATCATGACAAATGCCACAACATTGAACCCTTTTGCAGGAGCGTAAACCAAGTATGGGGGGATAGCCAGCCACTGAAACATCAGCTTACGCTTGAATAAGAAACATAATCCTCAGCATTAAGGAGAGAGAGGAAGACACCCAAGTATCACTTCACATCTGCAACAAATACAAAGGCAAATCAATTACATTCCCACAGCCATGTGGCTGGTTCCAGAGTATAAAGAGAAATCTACAGCAGATGAAGTTTCAGAAGGCACATTAGGTTAGAAGCAAACTCATGAGTATGAGGACAGGAGATAGTTTTTTGCCTTAACCTTTTAAAGAAAGAATCAGTTTTATTCATCTTTCTGCCATCCCACCAGTGTATACTCACTTCAATTTACTGGAGTCCTCCTGAGCTGAAGACTGCAATGACTTTGTTTCTTTGTCTGATTTCTTTTTCTTCCAATCAATCTCCTTCTCCACTTCCCTCTAACAAGAAGGAAAAATCCAAAGTAGGGTTCAGTGATGGGTGTTACTATCAGTGACCCTGGTTCAGTTCACAGTCTGCATTGATGGGACAAGCAAAAGGCAGGGGGCTGCTGCTCTCACCCCTAGGAGTGACACAGGTGACACCTGTAGAATTCATTCGTCTTTGTATAAGCAAGCAATCACGACTGTTTCGTGGAAAGAAATATTTCACCCAGGAAAAGACTACACTGCTCAGACTGAGGTTACATGGTGAAAGGCAGCAGAAGGTGCCCACAGAAAAGCACTGACAGGGGTGGCATGGGTGGGTTCGCTCTCTGGACACCCCCACAAACTGCATGCAAGGTGCTCTCCCACAGCAGACAGTAAATGGGTAGCGCAGGTGGCTGCAGGGTCTAGAAGGCACTTCAGGTACTGTGTTGCTTTGAAAGGGGTTGCAGGGAGAAGAGGCACCCCAGCCCTCCAAAGCTCCGCTTGGGCTGAAAGCCAGAGAAACCCACAAATGCTACCAGGGGGCTGGCCAGCCACATGCTGACACAGCCTGCTGCCAGAAGCTCCTCCAGCATAGGAGGGTTGGTGTTTGTTTTCTTGAGAAAAATACTATTAAAAAAAAAAAAAATCCAAAAATGTTTTAAAACACCAAAGCATTTGTTAGCTTACAGGGCTTTTCACTTGCTCAGCAGGGAACACTTGTGGACAGTTTTGACGCACATTCCCTTTAGAAGTTGGCTAAAACCTTGACAGAAGGAGCGTAATGGATCCACTCCCAACCTATAAAGCGGAAACGAACTCTACACATGTGTTTTTCAACCGCCACCTTGGTCCTTGTACAAACCCACCTCCACCTCTCACCTTTCTCTTTTGACAGGACTTGTCACGAGTGTCTGTGATTCTCCTCTCCAGGTCTTGCTTCCTCACACCACGGACTTCCCCATCCTCTGCTCTCCTCTGGTGACTGCCAGGAGAGTGTGCTGACTTCTGCTGACTGCCGGGGCAGTCCCTCACCAGCAAGAGCATCTGCTTCTCCCTGACAGACAAGGGAAGTTTGTCCCGGCAGAAATCCTCTCTGGCCACCATGGCAGGCCTGTGGCCACTGGTCCTGCTTGGGGGTTGTGTCCTGGCCTTGAGGAAGGGGGCAGAGAGCAAGATGCTTCTGGGCACTGCCAGGCAAAACTTCTCTCACAAGCTTGGGGTCCAAGAAGGGTTTGGCATTGGCCTGGTGGAAGCTCTTGTGCTTTCTGCTCTCAGTGGGCACTTGCTGTTCTGGCATCAGCTCTCACACTCACCCATCATTACACAACTGAAAATTCCATCCGCTCCAGTGTAATCTACACATACACTTGTGGAGGGGAAGAGCAGAAAAGAAGGGAAATACCATTCTGGTTCCTAGGCCAAACCCAGCATGCCTGGACTATTCATTTCTAGTTGGAGCTTTCAGCAAAATCCCACACAACTAAAGCCAGTTTTGAACAGCAGCTTCAGGCAGTTAGAAACCAAAGCCTGTATCTAACAAGAGAAACCAGGAGCCCTTACCCATCTACCCCATATATAAAAAGTAGTTTTGTTTTTCTCCTTATTTGGTCTAGCTACTAGTTTGGGAACAAACCTGTACCTTGGAGGAGCAAGTGAAGAAGGTGGCTTTTCAGCAACCTGTTTTGTTCACAAAAACAAAGAGGAGAGGGGGAGGAAAGGTGAGCTTAAGGAAGTCAGAACAACACCACAAGTTGTGATGATTTAAAAGGATGTCTAAAACTGACTTGGTCTAAACATCTAAAACATCTAACACTGACCTGGTCATCACTATCCTCTTCGCTATCACTAAGCTGCAGGTCATCCTCAGGGATTCTGAAAGACAACCAGAAGAGAAAGATCAGCCAAGGCAGGCACAGTTTCAAGCAGCAGACACTGAAAAAGACTTGGTTTGTACTTGCCAAAACAAACCAGCCTCTCACATTCCTTTGAACATTCAGCATGCTCAGTCTCCTAAGCCCTGTCATTACCTAAATGAGCCATAAAATGAGAACACACAACCTGGACATGTCACTGGGCTTTCCAGTTGATCTCAGGATGTTTTGCAATGAAGGTCAGTGTCACTGGCTAGCATCCACAAAGTCCTGTGAGGGGACTGACTGCTCCTCAGCACAGGCTACCTAGCACACAGCCAACAAAGGTTACCTAGGTTACCTAGGACACTAACACAGCAGGGTGGGCTGGAAGAAGTCTGACCCTTGTAGAGCAAGAGACCAGCACACTGTTAGCCCCCATGGGCTCCCCAAGGGGCAGAAAGCATTGTCTCTGCACCCGAAGCTGGGCATGCTCATGCTCTCTGCTCTCAGGGGAGGTGAATACTTCTTTTGTCACTGGGGCTCTCTTTTTGCTATTGAAGTCTTCCGTCACACATACATAAGTAAACGCCAAGGTCAATCCTGTCTCCTATCTCTCTCTACACAATGAACTTCGTGCTCCTGCACATCTCAGCAGTAACCGTAACACTGGGCAGTTCTCAAAGCAGTTCACAAGCAGGGAGGCACAAACCCTCTTTTACTATTGCTAGAGAAGATAAGAGGCTGCCTGTACAAGCTTCCAAAAGCATAATTTACTCCTCTGCCTGCAAGTGGTAACTACTGCTTGCAATTTCAATGCATTACTGAAGTCCTCAAAAGGCTGGAAGGGAAGGATTTGTAGGGAGGGACCCAAATTTCTCCCAAATTGTCATCACCCTCTTTGGCAATCATGCGGGTATCCCAAAAGGAGCTGGAAAACAGACAGGCAAATCTCTTGCTATTCTACACTATGTCTTGCTATTCTATACTACATCTTGAAACTGGCTGGAGACCGACTCCTCAACCCAGAGAATTACACAAGTGTCATTCCAAAACAGGATTAAAAGGTCGGGGACAGAGGCAGGGATCTTAATCAATCGGGTCAAAACTCCTGCTTGTTTCAACCTCCTTTGAAACTAAGGGCTCTCTGTGAGAAATTTTTCTCATGCCCAAATAAGAAAAATAAGCCTCCAAGCCCTCATGACAACACATTTTATAGTAAGAAAACAAATATGAACAGTCCCCAGTGAACCACATCATCCTGTAAAAGTGGGGAGATGATGTTCCTGATGCTTGTTGGGAAAACTACATGAACCTTCGCACTCTTTCAAGCCATCATGTCCAACTATGAATATAATGAAAAGATTTACTGACCCCACAGTCCCCAAGTACCTCTCACTGATAGAGGAGAGGTTCTCAGTGCACAAGGACTCACAGAGATGTACATCCTTGCTTTGTTTGGCCGTTTTGACTTTGCCATTCCCCTGTGATGATCCTCCTTCTTCTGAGATAAAACATAACACGACAGGGAAAAGAAGAAATATCTAAAGAAAAGTAGAAATACATATATACACACTATTAAAAAAGGCTGTAGAAATTTCATCTCCACCCCGCTTTACAACTAGCTCACACGATGAAAATATCAGTTGGGGTTTTTAGAGAGTCCACATGAAAAGTTCTTTGCCCTTGGGTTTGGTTTTTTTTTTAAATAAAAATAAAATTAAGACAATATTTTCAGAAAACTTTTCTTTGGGCAATTGCAGAAATGTATACCATATGATTGCTTTAAAATTTCACCCCTAGTTTTCACTGTTTCCATAGGTGTAGCTTCACTAGCCTTCACAGGCTTAAAAAAGATATGCAGAATAAATCAGACTCAGTTTTGCATTCCTTAGAATATACATCAGTTGAATGCATTATTAGTAGTTTGAATAGCCCTAAGTGTGACATGATGTTAAGTAGGCACAAATTAAAAGAGAAAAAACCCTTCAATCTCATGCATTAATACTTGGGGTTTTTTTCTTCGGTTTTGTTTTGTTTTTACCACAGTCACCATAATCACAAAACAGTAATGTTTCTGTTGGTGAAAATTCCCTGCGTTAAAATTTTCTCAGAAAAATCAGACTGATAAAACCTTAATCTTTGAAATCAACAAGTAAAATTTAATTCATTCCTGGTTCTTTTAAGTAACTGCACAGTAGAGATGAGAAATGAGTCTGGTTACTTACGGTGTTCTTGGTTGAGAACGAGGTGATGTTTTTGCAGGTGCATCATACTGTTCTGTAAATCAGAAAGGAATCAGTTGGGTTTATTTGCCTCACTTGTAGCATATTTTACCCTGTGGTCTCTGAACATCAGATTAGAAAGTTACTTTCTTCCAGCAGGTAACTATTGGCCACTGAGATTATTCATCACTCCAAATGGGGTTTCCTTATCACACACTGTTCTCTGCCAAACTGCTGCCTTAATTTCTAGGTCATGGCTGTATACAATCTCTTCAGCATTTTCTAAATTCATCACTGCTCAACAAAGCACAGGAAATCGTGCTCCTTGATCAATGTAAACCCTTGATGTTCTCCTCAACATATAACACGCAACACAAAACTGTCTGTCCATACACACATTAGAACGTGTTTCCTTTGGATTTATGCTTACTCTGACTCTGTGCTACAGATCTAACAGTCTGTGATTCCTAGAAAGGAAGGAAAAAGTACAAACTGGGAATAAAATAAATCAGCTCTCTCTTCAGAGCAGCATAGCAATGATTTGTTTTCCAGGTGTTACTGTAATAAATACTTCAACTAACTTGTCAAAGCATCACTCTGAAGCATTCAATAGTCTAAGCTGTCCTGATGTAGCTTAGCATGGACAGAAATGTTACATGCTACTGCCACCAAAAAGGTGTTGCCAGCACATTAGTGCTAACACACACGAAAAGCCTAGCACAGACAAGGATCTTTGTCTTGAACATACACTCAAGTACTTTAAGGGGGGGTTAATCGAGGCGAGGCCTTTGGGGAAGCTGAGGCTCAGAAATTCAGAACCTCCTTGGTGAAATTGCACAAGACAGACATTTCTTGGCTCCTGATCCTCAAGTTTGAAATCCTGAAGAGCAGAATATAGGTGCTCCAGGAAGTTTGGAGGGTTTACTGCCTTTCCAGGAACAGCTATCTCAGGACTTTCCCCCCAGCCCAAGACCACCTCTGTACTCAAGGTGTGCACCCACCATCCCCATCCAGAGGGGCTGTCATCACAACCATCCCCTGCCAACTTCTCAAAGAAAGCAGCAGGCAGAATAACACAATACTGGCACTTGGCGCAGCTCAGAAAGTCAGGAATTATGTTCATGCCGAATGAATCTCATGACAAGCATGCACCACACACAGTTTGCTCAGGGGCTTAAAAGAAATCGGTGAGGAATGTGTCAGTGCAAATTACATTTTTGCACTTTTGGCAGCAAACAGACTTAAGTGTGAAAATCTCTATCATGTCATAATTTACAAGTGCCATTTTTTCATCAAGGCACAGGTATGAAAGTTCAGAAGTGACCCTGGTTTCTGTATCTATTAGGAATAACAGGAAATGCAAAGATTTACAGGGAATGGAACCACATGGCTACCTTTGCCTCTAGAAGCAGGGATGCAAGCAATCTATGGGGGTTTCTGTGCAAGAACTAGAAGCAGCCTACAACTAACCTGGGTAACCGTTAGCATTGTTACCACCCTTGCCTTCCCCTTTCTCTCCTCCCACTGCTCAGTTCATTGCCCACTTCACTCACTAGCTGTGCAATCTTTCAGTAGATGATAAACTCCTCAATACACCGCACTACACCTCTTCGTGTATTTGTACATGCTTCCCTGTGGCTGCTACAAAAATAGTAGTATGCATTACTGACAGGCAAGGAAACAGGAAGTCTCATGAAACACAAGATGATGCAGTATTTTATATCTGTCTAGGATAGATATAAAATGTACCTGCACAGGATTCTTCGTTGTGGGTCTTTCCCCCCCCCCTTCTCCAAGTAAGATTATAGGTTAAACTCCTAACATGTAATGAACGTGTAAGGTACTAGCAGTACCTAATGTCTCATCTGATTATTTGTGTTTTTTAAAACCAGGTCAACAGATCTTAACTGCTTTTTAGGACTTGACTCCTGATGGGCTGGATTTTTGTCTTGACAGGATTTTTTGAAGATTCACGCAGTGAAAGAAAAAGCAGCCAATGGCTTCAGGATCCATGGTCCCAGAGCAGGCCAAACAACACTGATAAAGGGGAAAAGGTGGCAGCAGCAGCAGCAAACTAGGTCTTCCAACAGTGATGGTGAAGAAGATGTCTTTGTATTTGAAGCAAATGAGGTGTGTAGGGATATTCATGGCTCTTTTCTTCACTTCTTTGAAGCTGGAGAGCTCTGTGACGTTACACTGAAGGTGATACTGTCACACATCCACTGCATTTAACAGTCTGAGATTAAGCTACAAATACATGTGCTGGGAGTGGCTATGAATTTGGACAGGGGTATGGAAGCCACAGAATATCTTTCCTAGCAAACAGGATTTCTGGAACAAAGCTAACTTCCAGCTTTCTCAAAGAATTAAAAAAAAAGAATAACTCTCCCAGACAATTATGTTCTACAGTGGATCAAAGAGTAAACGAGGAGGAAAACAGTTTTATGACTCTTGCATAGCATTGCTTTAATGCATTCTGTTACTCAGCTGTATATTACTTATATCCTGATCACAATAATTTTATATCTAGCATCCATTGCCAGCACCTACAAGTATAAAGTGTTGCCTAGCTAGACAACTTAGTAGTGTGTGAGAGCTATTTAAGAAAAAGAGATAAAGCACAGCTCCTACACCAAGAAATGATGGATGCCTTTAAGACAAATTGCTTGCCTGCTGCTTTTCCTATTAACAGGGAAAATCCTTGACAGATGTGTGTCCCTGGTGCCCCTCTGGTAGGCATCTCATCTTTCTAAAACGCCTGGGAGACAATGGAAATCTCCAAGACAAAGACAGGTTCTCTCCCTTCCCCCGCAGCAGACAACAGGAGCAGAACAAGCAAGAACATTTTTCTGTTCTGCTCCACAGCAGATAGGAAATTGCCTGTGAGCAGGCACTAGATGCAGCAGCAAATACGTCCAGTGGCTCGTAACAGCTGAGGTAATGCTCACAGGACACTGACTGACAATACGGAAGCTGCTCCGCACAACACCAGAGCCATGAAGCAGAACTTGCCTGAGAGCTCATCATCAGGTCTTTTGACATCTGTCATTTTAAAAGGTGTTTTGGGGAACAAGGTTTGTGTCAGAACTCATTAACAACCCTCCTCTTCCCTTTTCTTGACCTCAGCCTCACCTTTCTCCCTTTCAACTCACCCTTGCCAAAAAGGCAGAAAGTGTTGTTTTATAAACACAGTTAAACATATACTCCTGCTAGGGAAGCTTGCCTTGGCAAATACACTTACTGTGGCTTCCGTTTAACTTGCCCTAAGTTAGGCTTTGTATTAATGTTCATTTGTATCATTTGTGTGGAGCTACTTTGGTAATCTAATACTACTGCACAACTGGGCTTCCAGCCCTCAGGTAGGGAATGTCATCTATGGAGGCTAGAGCAACCTGCCTGCATCTTACTGTAAGGCTTCCTAAATCACTGATTTGCAAGGAACTGGTAACTATATCTTGAACTAGGGCTTTCTGGAGGGCTTGATTTTACTTTTTTTTTTTTTTTTCTGTAGTGCTCAGGCATTTCTCATGTTTTAAGAATAACTACATGTCCACTAAACCTGCTTTTGTGTGTGACCTCTGATAGTGAGCAATTATGGCATCGCTGTTGTCAGAGCAAGTATGGATTTAACTTCTGGCTCTTAAAATATGATAGTTCATAACTGAAGGGGAACTCTGATTTCGAAATAGCGGGAACATGCTAGATCTTTAAAATGAAGCAGATCTGGGTGATGAGGCTCTCCCGGGAAGGTACTTCATGATAGAGCTGTGGGGTCCTGCTGAGCCTCACTGGGGGCTGTGCTTCAGGCTCTTGCCTTTCAGCAGCCCAAGCCTGGGCTCTTAGGGAGTGGGGGTCTCTGGGTTGCTCCATCAGGCCTAGACACCATCCTGCTTTGCCCCTGGGCTGCAAGGGGGGGAACCTTTTGAGCCAGTGGGGAAAATCTGGGGCAACTTTGAGGGGACAGAGGTAATATTCTGGGGGGGAAAAATTGAGGTATCCCGGGACAAAATGAGCTTTTATTGTGTGTAAAGCTGAACTTAGAGGGGATATTTTGAGGGGAAAGGCAGAAGAAACTTAGAGGGAAGATAGGTGACAATTTTTAGAGAAAAGCTGAGGTACCTCAGAGAGCACAGGGTAAGCATTTTGAAGGGGAAGGATTAGGTTTCTTAAGGGGGACAGAACTACCATTTTGGAAGGGAAAAATAGAGGTGACTAAGAGAACAGGGCAAGCCCTAGGGGAGAGCCCCATCACTGTTGAGAGTAAAGTTGAGGTTACTTAGGATGGGATAAGCATTTTTGAGGGTGTCTATCTTAGGGAAGACATTGGCGGCATTTCTGTGGGAGAAGCTATGATACCGAAAAATGCTGAAGGCAGCAGAAAGGATGAAGATTTTTAGGCCATGCTGAATGAGCTTCTTGGTTTGTGCAGTTATTTTGGCTCTAGGCAAGGTCCAGGAGGGATGAAGAGGGGTCATGTAGCGGGATTTTCATGGAAAAGAAGCATCATTATAGGGACCAATCCAATTTAACAGCTGAGCTATGGTATTTTCCTTCATTTAGAGTTCTGAAGCCGAAGATGAAGAGAAACTCCTGGAGACATTGTCTCTGCAGGAAGAGAAAAGAAGGATCACCAGCATATTTCTGTAAGTTCAGCAAGAGGTTTGCCTGCATTGAATGGGCTGGTGGTGTCACTGTTCACTCAACTTTTCCTTAGATTTTGGCTAACACAGCTCAAAGCCTGATGTATGCCAGGAGCAGTGGGACATCCCTAGGGGATGATTTGTGAGCCTGTACACTTCCAACCTATAACAAAGGGAGCTGAGGGAGTGTTGAAATCTTTAGCTTTGGCTTAAATGTATTTTTTTCTAAAAGGTCCTTCAATGTACACTGGCATATTTACCACTGTATGGCCCACAGTATAAAAAGCAGGGGAGAACCTCAGCTAAAGTAAATGTAATAGAAAAGAGACAGCCTGTCTCCATGCAAAAGACAAAAGCACAAAGGAGTAAGTATAAACTATTATGGAAAATGTTTAGATAAGGGGCACTCTCTGAGTCAGTTAAATGGGCTGCCAACTCCTCTCCCAGGACAACTGGCCACGTTTCCCTCATTAACTTCTCATGATAGCCCTCTGAGACTTGGGTCAGGTGATGGGGGTGACAACCTAAGATTTAAAGGGATAATGACTAGGGAGACAAAGGAAGCAAGGGAAGGGAGCTCGGGGGTACACCCAAATCTATCTGCACAAAACTCAGACCGTGAGTATGTGAGGAACTAGGCGCAAGGCTTGGTGCAGTGGCAGTGCTGGTAGTCACTACTCCCACTGTTAAGGATTCAAGCCCCAAGATGATGGTCGTAGTTAATGACTGCTACCTTATAACATCCCTCATTGACACAGGAGCCCAAACAATGGTAAATAAGAACACTTACAAAGGACTGCCTCCATTTAGCAAGCAGTTACTTTCCATTTTAGGTGTTAATGGGAAAATCACTACTCACCCACTGAGGGCTAAACTAACTCTAATGGATAGACAGTCTGCCCAACTTACTTTTATGTTCCTCTAATGTATTAGGTATGGATGTACTGAAGGGTCAGTCATGGGTGGGGAAAACGGGAAACAGGGACACCACCCCCTTTACCCCTTTACTTCCTACAAATGCATCTCTTGCCGTCAGATGCTCCTTTACCCCACAGCAAGCTAGTTAATACTCCACAATACAAACTGCCTCTGACGCTATTCATCCTGATACTGAACTGAACAAGGAGCTGGAAGAGCAGGGAATCGTCGCCAGGTCTCATTCCCCTTTACAATTCTCCTGTATGGCCAGCAAAGAAACCAAATGGCAGCTGGCAACCGACAGTAGATTACCAAGCCGTGAACACTGTCACTGAACCGCTCACAGCAGCTGTTCCCAGTATTAGTGATAGAGTTTTCCTAACGAACAAGCCTTTCCACAGCCGCCAATCGCAGTGTCACTGCGGAAGATGTCCGGTGGGAGTTCCGTGGTACTGCGGCCTCTTGCGCGTTGTCACTACTGAGGTTTTACAGTCCGAGTGCAGGGGTGCTGCAATGCCTGTGGGGCGTAGGGCAGTCGAAGCCTGGCGATACTGTAGCACCACCGGGGGTTTTACCGCCCACGGCTGGCGCTGCTTCAATATCACAGCCGGGCGCACCACGAATACACAAGAGAAGGGAAACATACCCCTCAGCCAGCTTCCGGCAGAAATCCCGCCCCCTCCCAGCAGCCGCAGCGGCCATTAGCTACGAAGCCAGTCCGTCGTTCCTATACTCTGCTCTCATTGGCTAATAGTACTGGCCTCCCCTTCCGATTTACCCATAAGAACATCAGACCCGGGAAGCTCCGTCCTATTTCCGGGTGCCGCCGTTTTGGTGTGACCGCGCCTTTATGAGAGGGCGCCGCCATTTTGTACGAAGCGGCTGTTATTCCTCCATGGGAGCCGCCATCTCCTGGCCTCGTGACCGCCGTCAGCTCTGTGATTGGCTGCTCGCCCCCTCCTGAACTAGGAAGCGCTCAGGCGGAAGTAGCTGTACGTTTATTTACAGCAGGTACCGCGCGTGTGCGTTATATTAGCGGGAATACGGAAGTATAAATCTATAAGATAAAATATTAGATGTCTATTCTATAGGTACATAGCTGTAGGTAGGCGCAGAGAGAGGGTCCCGCGGTGGTGCAGGGGCCGCAGTCGGCGTGGCTGCCGTTCCCGGTGCTC